TAACGCCCGTTTCTTTTGCCTCTTAGACGAATTCTTGTATACGAAGATGGTGCCACACGGATGGTTCATCTTAAGAACCTCAATCTGCACTGCGCCAGTACGGCTGAGGATGCAATGGCTCTTCTGTTTCTGGGGGACACCAATCGCGTGATTGCCGAGGTAGGTTCTTTGCATCCGTATTATGGCCTCTTTTACGCCAGATATACCATGTAGCTCTTTCAATGCTTATGTTCAAATAGCACGGTGAACCCCCTTCGATCAAAACCCTCCTGGAGTCTTAACCTTCTTCGGTCAAGTGAACTACATTGTCTCATCCCCATAAACTGATAATCAACTGTAGTCGGTGTTACAGTGACCATCATAGTGTTCGCCTCGACTAGGATTCAGATCGCATGTCCTACGAACGTAGACTTTAGTAAGGCTGACTTATGACGACTGATGGATCAGAAATGCAGACACCAGCTTGCTACATACGTCAGTATTAGTCGTACTACGAAATCGTGAGAGGGCTGTAGGTTTAGTGTCAAAATGCAAAGAGATGAATATGGCAAAAATATATATGCGTGAACGTATACGTAATATGATAATATTTTATATAAAGTATAATCATGGAGTATGTGTAAGGGACAAGAGAAACCGGTATGGCTATTTGTAATTTATTATCTGTCGGGAATCAGCCTTATACAAACGCAGATTTCGCCATACTTTTATGTTATATATAAGTGAACGCGGGCTCGAGTCTCCAGGGTCGCAAATGTGGTATTGCGTACGGTTGTATGGTAACAGTTGATGAACTAGACATTTTCATTCTAGTGTCCCTTGTCATGTTGGGTTCAGTGACTCCCCGATGAAGACGAAAAAGAAAAGTAGACGAGTTTATGCCCTGAAATACAGTTGAACTGGCGTTTCGGAAACTCCCTCGTTTCCGTCATGAGGTTAGTGCGTTGGTTCTTTCTGCTGGACTCGACTGCTTCAGCCTTGCTCTATCCCGCGAAGGACATGTGGCCTGTCCGGTAGCTGCAATTTATTGCAGACTCCCCCCGGTCAGCAAGGCCGTAGCCTATTGCTGGCCTTGGGGGGAGAGAGTGAGGTCCACCCTCAGCGCATTTCTTTTATCCTATAAACAATCTGATGTGCTTGAAGCTATTGCGGTGCGTTAAAAGCCGTGGCTTGGAGGGTTGCCAACCGACGGGATAACTTGGAAACCACAATCAGCCCGGTCTGTTTCGTTGTGTGGAGTGTCCTACTGCGGGCTGAGAGTCGGACTGCAATGGCTCCTTCTGACGATCCCAGGTGAGAGCCTACCTAGCGAGGTGTGCTGTTGGTACGCGTGTTG